GAAAAAGATCTTGAGGGATATCTGGGTGGCTCAGTTGGTTAAGTGTCTGACTCTTGATCTCAGCTCAGCTCAGGTCTTGATCTCAGGATCATGAGTTCGAGCCCCACGTTGTGCTCCACACCCAGTGTGGAGAGAGAGGGAGAGAGAGAGGAAGGAAGGAAGGAAGGAAGGAAGGAAGGAAGGAAGGAAGGAAGGAAGGAAGGAAGGAAGAGAAAGAAAGAAAGAAAGAAAGAAAGAAAGAAAGAAAGAAAGAAAGAAAGAAAGAAAGAAAGAAAAAAGAAGGAAGGAAGAAAGAAAGAAAAGAAAGAAGAAAGAAAAGAAAAAAAGGAAAGAAAGAAAAAAGAAAGAAAGAAAAGAAAAAGGAAAGAAAGAGAGAGAAAGAAAGAAATCTTGAGCTTGAAAAAGAGACTCAGAAGGACAAGCCAGAGAAATAGGAGGAAAACCGGGAGGAGGCAACATTCCAGCAAGAAAGCCAAGGAAAGAGAGTGTTACAAAGGAGAGGAAGGTGTGCTCATTGCTGCCACATCCTGCTGAGAGCCCAAGGATGGGGACTGGAAAGACTCATCAACAGAGGCTGCTGAGGACCTTATCATTAACTGTTTCAGGGGCCAGTGAGGACAGAATTCATATTCAAGTGGGCAAGGGATGAGTGCAAAATTAGGAAGTAGTGACCAAGAATGTAGGCCATCCTTTGAGAAACTCAGCTCTAAAGGGGAGAAATACAGGGAGATAGTTTGAAGGCGGTATGAAGTCAACTAGTATGTGGAAAGAGTTGGGATTTAAATCCAGTTCTGACTCCACATCTGAGTCCTAATAATCGCTGCTTCTGGACCACCCCTGCTGTTGTTTCTCTGAGTCTACACTGGTAATCCATAAATCTCTTTCCTCTTCTCAATAAAAACTACTCACATGAGGCTCATCTATAGAAGAAAGTTCTGGAAATTTTGAGTATTTCAATGCAAAATCTAACTATCCCTTGGGTTTGTGTTGGGCTCTAAGATCTCCAGAGACCGGCACTTCCACAATCTACTTTCCTCCACAGAATACCTGTAAAATGAGTTAAGCAGGGTGGGTCTTATTGTGGTCTTATGGGTGAGGGAACTGAGTCACTAAGACATTTATGGCAGAACTGGCACAGGAATCCAAGACCTCTAATTCACAGTCCAGGGTTCTTGCTACTTTACCACACTTTGCACAAGAAGGTCTCACCCCTAGAACCACCACCACCAAAATGTTCTCCTCTTTAATAAAACCATTAGTAATAGTGGCAGAAAGAGCAGTGGTGCCTGTTGTAATTGTCACAGTAGAGTTTACAAAGCCTTGCCAAATATATTACCTCATTAAAATCAATACAAATTCTCAGAGGTACCCGGGGCTGGCTCTCTCAGAGCTACTACTCCATGTTCTGATGAGGACACAAGTTCATACAATGATGCATGTTGGAGCTGAGATTTGAAACCAGATCTCTGAACTCTGAATCCAGTGTTCGTGTTTATGGTTTATAAATGCTGGATCCCTTCAAGAATCTGATGAAAGTTATGGCCTCTCTTCACAGAAAATTATGCGTCAGTATACAATCAACAAAACTCTGCACACAATTAAGGGGTTCATGGATGATCTAGATGTAGGAACCCCTGCTGTACGTAGGTTATGTGGTCTCTAAGCCAAATAAAGTGTTAGTTGTTGAAATTCCATGTATGATCCCTCTCAGCGGTAATGGTGTTTTAACTAGAGATTCCTGGAAGGGAAAGCTTACGAAGCTTTTCTCAAACTCCTGGTCAGGATCATGTCCTCTCTACACCCCAGTAATAAATAGCTTATATTCTAGTACAGTATGCATCTCATTCTGCTCTGTGCAGGTGCCTCCTCTATTAGGATGGAAATGTCTAACATAAGTAAGTACAGCAACCATAACAATAACTTTTATCATGACTACGCTCATTGAACACTTATAACAGCTTGACACTTAATTGTCACCATGTGCCACCCACTATTCAAATTCATTTAATTTTCTCAACAACTTTATGCGGTGTTTACTATTATTATTTCCCTTTACAGTGAGGGACTAAGGCACAAAGAGGTTAAGTAAATTGCCTAGGGTCACCTAGTTACTAAGGGGTGAAGCTGAGACACCAGCAGTTTGGCCCCAGAGTCTAGGATATTAACCTCCACCTTAGACTATCTCTCATTTTCCGTGTACTGGCTATGTGGGGTTTCTCTGTTAATATTATAAAATACCTTACTTTTCTAAAAAGCCCAGCAATGAAGCATAATTATCATAGTCTGAAAAATAATGGATTTCATTTTGAAATAATTTTAGATTTTCAGAAGTTACAAAGAGTATACAGACTTCCCTTATACTCATCATCTAAATACAATATTATAAATAGCTTATTTGAATGTTGACAGTTTTCCTTGACTTATTTGAATGTTGACAGTTTTCCCTGACTCATGTCCTTCTTTTAGTCCAGGATCTAAACCATGATCACACATTGTTTTTGTCTCCTCCAATCTGGGACAGTTCTTTAGTAATTCCTGAAGTTTCATCATCTTTTGAAGCATACTGGCTAATAATTTTGTAGAATGCGCCTTGGTTGGGGGTTGGCTGATGTGTTCTCATGTTTACACTGAGGTGATCCATTTTTGGCAAGAGCCTTATAGAAATGATGTCGTGTCCTTCTTGGTACCTCATGAAAAGAGGTGAGAGAGATCTCATTGCTGGTACTGTTGACTTTGATCATGTGGGGGAGGTGCTGTCTGCCAGATCTCTCCACTGGGAAGTTACTATTTTTCCTTTGATAATAATGGGTATCTTACAGCAAGATACTCTGAGACTATGCACATATCCCGCTTTGCATCATACTTTCACTAATTTCAGCATCCACTGGTGATTCTCCTTTGCAACAAGTATTACTGTGGTGTTTGCCTAATGATAATATTCTAGTTCCATTATTTGCTCCACATTTATTAATTTCAAGTATATGGTCCTTGCAGTAGATAGGAAGATCTGCCCTTTCTTCCCATTTATTTCTTCATTTATTTCTTCATATATTTATTCCCATTTATTTACTTCTATCAGAATGGCCTTGGGGAGTCACTTTATTCCATCATTACTTATTCTGTTGATCTAAGTTTTTTTGTCCCCAAAGGCCACAGAAAGATTCTTAAAGCTGGCTCCCATGCACTTTGGCAATTCCTCTTCGAGTAGTTTCTTACTTTCACCTTTTCACAAAATGTCCATGTATGTTCCCTGCCCACGCCCTGGAATCAGCCATGTTCCCAAGAAATCCTAATTCCTTTTCAGCAGAGGAGAGTATTTAAAAACCAGGATCTGGTGCTAGGTGTGCACACTGCTACGAGGGGTCACTCTTTCCAGACCATCTCAGCAGAGAGCACAGGGAATGTATGTATGTGTACTCACACACAGATATACACACTGTATTTGTTTCTCTCTGTGGCTACAGCTCTATCTGTATACAGCTATCCCTACACACATACATACAAAATCACAAGCTGATTCTAATACCTCCTACTTCCACCCACTACCATAGGGTTCATTGTAACCTTCCCCTTTCCCTATTTAAGAGAAACCTGGCTCTCATTATCTACAACATATTTATTTATTTGGTTAGCTGTAGTATACACATAAAGGATTTCCAGAAGAGCTAATGCAGACATTTATGAAAAACAAATTTAGGAATTAGAGTATAATACTTAAAAAATTTTTTAAGATTTTATTTATTTATTTGAGAGAGAGAGGTAGAGAGAAAGGGAGAAGGAGGGGGGGATAAGGGGAGAGAGAGAGAGAGAGAGCACAAGGAAGGGGAGGGGTAGAAGGAGGGAGAGGGGCAGAGGGAGAAGGAGAAGCAGATTCCCCGCTGAGCATGGAGCCCGAAGCAGGGCTCGATCCCAGGACCCCGAGATCATGCCCTGAAGGCAGATGCTTAACTGACTGAGCCACCCAGGGGCCCCAGAGTATAATACTCATATACAGTTATTTTATCTTCAGCCAGACATTATACTATCAAAATATTCTTTCCCAAAGTTACTAGGTTAGTTTTTTTCTTTCCCAAATCTTTCTTACTGTGGTTATGTTATTCATTATTAATACAATAGGTTTAGATTTTGCTAACTGTATTTCATTTTGCCCACTCCCACCATACATACATCCTGGTATCTATCTATTTATCTACCTACTTACCTACCTACCTATCTACTTATCTACCTACCTACCTACCTACTTATTATCTAACATACTTACCAACCTACCTACTTACTATCTAATCTACTTACCAACCTACCTTCTATATATTTTCAAGGGGCACGTGAAACATCACCATGGTTCTAAGAATTACAGTTATATAAAGAGATCTCAGAAAAGTACTATTTCCACCTCTTACCCTATTCTCACTCCCCTTTTTTTCCATCCCATTCCTACCCACCACCTCTAGGTAACGAGTCTCACCAGTTTCTGGTTTGAACTTCCTCTATTTCTTTTGCACAAATGAGTAAATACACATATAGTTTCTTATTGTCACCTTCTTTCTCCATGAAAGGGAGCATACTGTAAACACGCCTTTACGTTCTTAACACTATATCCTAGAAATCACTTCATATCACTTATTATCCTCTGTTGTACAGATGAAGAGATGGGTGTAAAGAGGTTGGATAACTTGCTCAAGGTCACACCCCTTGTAAGGAGCAAAGCTGGATTTGAGCCCAAGAAGTGCTGACTCCAAAATCCACATTCCTTCCACTACATCGGAGTCCCTCATCCACGGTTCCTGGCATATTCTTTGGGACCTCTAGTTTCTTTGAGTTCTCTGTTTGAAAATTAATACATGTATGTCCTGGATCATCTGGATGACTGTCTTATAACCCAACACTGCCGGGCATTCTCATTGCCCAAAGGAACTGAAAATCACCTAGCTGCCTAAGGTGAATGCCCTCATGGAGGAACGCAGGTAAGGTTGTAGGGGGAGTGGGGGGGCAGCAGGTACCTGGCTGTGGCCTTGGCTTGTAGTTCAGGGAAGGCAGCATGGCCCTGCACCATGTGGTCTATCTGAAAAACAAGAGAGATGGGTCAATCTTACAGTTTCTCTGATTTATGTTTAAGCCAGAAAAAGATATATTAAAATGTCGGTTTCTTTCAACTCTGTCCACAGAGGATCTAGGAATGTTAAAGTGCTAACTTCACTAGAGTGTCTGAGCTCTTTGAGAAATTTAGCTTTGCTTCACCTAGTGCTGGCCTCTTGATCCACAAAACACAGCAGTCTAAAGAAAAAGGTGCAGGAAATGAAACTCTCAAGGCTAAACTGGTAGCAACAGGTCCAAAACGGAGGCGTGAGGACAGGAGTGAGAAGGAGTAACTCCAGGTATGTGGTGAAGGGCCTGGGTGTTAAAGCACCAAGCTCTGGATCACACCATGTCAGCCTCCTGATCCAGGCTGTTACCCCAGGGCAATGTCAGACCTTGAATTACTCACCCTGTCTTACTAATGGAGAAGCAGAGTGAAAGAGACGAGGAGGAGGGATTACCAGTTCAAAAACCACCACCAACAAAAAGTTGCCCTAGAGCTGTTCAGAGGACCTCTCCTGATTGACAAGTTATCACAGGAGAAACTGGGGCATCACTCTCCTAGGACAGAAATGTCTAAGCTCTGTGGATAACTATCTTCTTCTCATTTGAAATCCCATGTCTAGGATTTTATTTCTAAATCTACTTGGTAGCTCTAAACAAAATAATACGTAATAGTATCAGGAAGGGAAATGTTTCCCCATGATGCTCCCCTGCTTGCTAAAATACACCCAACACACCGCTTGTGTTCCTGAACCTAATCTGGTTATCTTCCCAATGTTCACATGAGTCTCTAGGACTCCAAAGCCATTTTTCATTCAGACTATGAACCAATTGGTTATTTGGGCCTCCTGGAGATAGTCTCTCTAAGCGTGTTTCCTGACAGCCGGGGCTGTGTAAAGGGGAAGCGAATTTTTTTCTGGAGCCACAGAGGTCAGGTCTGGGTTCTGGCTCTGATACTAACATGCTGTGTGACTGTGTAAATCACTTAACTACTTACTCTGAGCCTCAATAGTCTCCTTAGCCCTCCCCCAGGCTCCCTTTAAAACAGGATTGCTGGGCTGTAGAAGGTGTCGGCCATAATGCCAACAACAGTATAAATACTATCACCTAAAATTTCCTGACTCATTTACCATATATCAACACTGAGCTAAGCATTTTACATACATGATCCCATTTATTCCTTACACGATTCCTAAGAAAAGGATACTATTCTCTACTATAGAGATGAGAAAACTGGGACCAAAAGAGAGTAAGCAACTTGTCCAAGGTCAGTCACAGGGGTAAGTGACAGATCTAGGTTTTCAGCTGCGGTCTCTCTGTGCCTAAAGTCCTTGGTTCTTCACTACTATGCCATAACGTGTACTGAACTTGTAGGTAAAAGCTGCTGAATGCCATTGGTACAGTTATGCAGAAATGCTCAAAAGGATACCAAAGCCACTGGTCATTTCAAGGAGAAAAAGCTATGCAGGTTTGAAATGTTAACTTCCTACAGATTCAGTTTTAGGTGACTGTGATGAGGCAAGTCTGGACCATAAAGAGTTTGCATCAGTAGTGGATAATTAAAGGCATTCCTTGATTTGATGCTGATTTCTGTGGGAAGCACTTTCAGAGTTCAGAGCAGGGAGATTTACATGAGCATCCAGCGGGAAGCTCAGAACCTAGCCTGTGCGGTGCGTGCATGAATGTAGTTTTCTGTATTTACTAAATGCCTAATGCATTCACTGTGTCTAGGCTCTGGGAATACAGTGGAAAGTAAGAAATACAAGACGTATAATACATAGTTATATAAAGTAAGAGGTCAATAATTTGGGGCAGGTGAGGCTTCAGTTGAGAGGCTGAGAACAGGTAGCTTGGAGGAGCAGGAAGCTACAGCCAAGGCATGCCAGAGAGGAGGCTGAGATGGAAAGACATATATGGGTGCAGACAGTAAGGAGATTGGCCAAGCCCCATGCCTGGCATATCAGAGCTGCTCAGTAAATATTTCTGGGATGATTGTGGGATGCACCAAGCATAATGGAGGCAAACCACAGGCTCACACAGGACCAGGTACTTCTTGGACGTGATCACACACTTGACATTTGTGTCTATTTGTGTGGGGCACACTTCGGTCACATCTAACTGTTAAATTAGAGAATAAATAGAGTAGTGAAGATAGTGGATGAATGGGGAGGGTGGGGGCAGATAGCGGGTCATGAAAGCCAGGTAAGTGTTTATAGTTTTATTGGATTAGAAGCCATGAAATTATTTTGATCTGGGGAGCAGGATGATGAGAAGTTAAGGAAAATGAGCCCGGTAGGGTATGCAGGACGGAGAGATAGCTAGGCGTAGAGGGCAGGAAATGTAGACAGGGCTCAGAGGCTGACTGTGAGAACACAAGGCAAAAATATTTCCTGTTCTTGCTCCATTGTAGCACTTAGCAAGTTTTTTTGTTTTGTTTTGTTTTGTTTTTTAATAATCATTAGCTTCTATGTCTGTCTTTACCCTACACTGTGAGCTCTTTTAAATCAAGAGCCCCATTAGTTCCCAATCCTCAGTGTCTACATTAGGGCCTGGCACCCTGAATGAATAAATGAGATATATTTGGAAGAAAACAAAACAAATTTAGTGGCTAACTAGAGAATGTAAGAAAATCAGTCGAGAAAGATGTTTGGGCTCTAAGACAAGGCAATGTGGCCGTATGAATCACATCTTATTATTTTTGGTACCTCTGATGCTTTGAGTCTGTGGTCTTACTGCCCCTGGAGAGACTGCGCCTGGCAGGGCTGGCAATTCCTAGAGATAGCAAAGGACTCAACTTATCTGTTAGCATGCCTTTCATGTGCAAGCTAACTACTCCAGAGCCTACCTACCCCCACCTCCTCTATGGACTACTGCTTCCCTGCTCTAAGCACCCCAGGGCTGGGTATCAGAGAGCTAGGGACAACTCTGGGGCTTCCCATGTGGCCCTGCATCATGGTATGGCGTGCCCCCTCCTCTTGAGAACTGTGAGCAACAAACTATCTTTTCAGTGGCAATCATCCCCTAATCTGTTGGCCTCATCATATGGTAATAATAAAAAAATCTACATTTTACAACAGTGGCTTAGTGAAAAGAACACAGGGTTTGGAAACAGACAGACTCAGGTTCAAATTCATGGTCTACACTCATCTTTGGTGGTACCAAGGAAAAGCTACTTGACCTCTCAGAGACTCATCTCCTAACTGTAAAATGGTGATAATAAAATTCGCATTGCAGGGGTGCCTGGTATATAGGTGGCTCTCAGTTCATAACATCTATTATTAAAAAGAAGGGCATGCGACCAAAAGAGCAAAAATGGTTGGGAGAACAGAATCTCAACTGGTCAGCTGTGCCTTTTTCTTCCCCCCAACAGCATCTGGTAGTAAAGGCCCACTCTGGTTAGCAAAGACCAAGCCAGTTTTTCAAATAATCGAGCACTCATTTCAAAAACCTGGAATGCCTGATCCTAAGGTTGATCTCTCTATTTATGTTCTATTCTCAAATGCATTTAGCATGGTATAGAACACAGTGTCCTATTAGTGGTTATTTGTTTCCCAGTGAAATAACCAGTTTAACCACAATGACCATATTTGCCAACTGGTTGCCTTAGAAATATATAGACAGAGCTCGTCTAACTTTATGATTACTTTCTTATTTCCTCCATCTTCTCAGATTTCAGCTCTGAGAGCAAGCAGAAAAGTCTACAAATGATATGGATAGGTAGGAAGCCTGAGCTGGATGGAGTCAGATCTTCTTCAGGATGGCTTTCTAAATCAAGAGGGAAAAGCCGTCTTATGATATACACCTATGGTTGGATTTTTAGGTCCTTCCTTATAAAGGTGGCATCTGCATTTGCAACACGGGAGAAACAGAAACACAACACAGTGTAACACAGAGATCATAAACGGGTAGTATGAGGGGACATCTGGCCCACAGATGTATTTTATTTGGGTTATATAATGTTTTAAAAAATCAGCCAATATTTTTAAATTGGGAGATTCCACTTAAAATCCAGATTTTGGTTTCTCCCAAAGAACCAGCATATGCAGGACACTGGGCCACCCATATTCCCACATGGCAAGAGTCAGCTGGAGCCGAGTGATGACTAATCCCTTCAGACAGGACTGCACCCTTCAGTATGTAGAAGATACCACCGCTCCCCACCCCTCCAGCCCCAACAACAGACACCAGATTTCACCAATTTCTCACCATGACTGCACGAATGTTTTACTTGTAGGAGAGATCTATTTCTCTACGCCCATCTCTCTATGAAAGGAAGGAACATAAAATCATTCCCTAGAGTGCCATGAGTTGAAAGAAAAACTTCTCTATCAAAGTAAAAAAAAAAAAAAATTTGTTTGCCTAATCTGTTTATGCTATCTGTCTGACTCCTTTAGGCATTTGAGTTTCTGACTCTTGAAATGACAGGGAGAACACAGACAGGCAGTCCTGAGACCTGAGTCAGTTCTGGCTCAGGGAATGACCTTAAACAAGACCATTTCTTTCTTTCTTTTTTTTTTGTTAGATTTATTCTTTATTTTTCCTAAGAGATTTAGTTCTCTCTCTACAACATTTAATAAATTAACATGACAAATAGCCAAGTGTTTGGAAAATTAGACAGAGGACTGCAATTGCCTGAGATCTCAAAACTGTGTGCACAGAGTCCATAGGCAAGAAAAACACACGACAAAGCCAAATTCAGAATCCCAGAATTTTAGGTTCTATGATCATTTTGCTGAGACAAAGCTATTTTATGGCATGATGGGCTTTTCTCTATTAAAACCAATTTTATGTATTAGTCTTGAGGCGTTCACCTTGCTTTGCAGATAATGAAATCATTAGGCTCAAGGATATGTTTATTGCTTGTAACAACTCCCTTTTTGCCATTTGTATTTACCTGCAAAGTCACTTTTTTCATCTCAGTTCTTCCAACTCTTTATTTAACTTCATTTTCTTATCTTAAAGCGAAAACATTTTATCTAATTT